GGGCCTCTCCTGTTTGTGTGTAATAATACAGGATGGCTGGACCATTAACACCTTCTCTGAGCACAGCATGTTGGAGCTGCAACATTTTCCAGCGTGGGCTCCTTTGCCAAAGAGTATATTGTGTGCATGCTCAACTTTTCTTTTAAAATCCCAAATAAGGTTTTCTTTTCTCTCTTCCTTCTAGGTTGTGTGTGTTTTTGCTATTGGTATCCATGGGACTTTTCCTCCTTGTCTTTTCTTTAGAGGTAACAGTCTAGGGTAGGCTTTTTTTTTTTGTTTCTTCTCCTTCTCCCCACCAAACCACAGTTTCTGGTGAGGTGGTAACTGAGGAGAGGCCGAGTGAGTCTGCAGAGTCATAAGTGAACCATTAAGCAGAGCACTTTGCTTTGAGGTCATTAGTTCAAAGAGAAGTGAAGTGACATCTGCAGTTTTCCGCCATCTGAGAGCTGGTAGATAGGTTTCCATCACAAAAACATAATGCAGGCAGGTTGCTAGGGATTTATAACTAAGTTGGGTTCCCTGGAATATAATAAAGAGAGTCACCACTGAAGACTTTTTCTTGAGACATTCCTAGTAGCTCTGTCACATACATATTTTTGAGGACCTATGAAGGGCCAGCTCAAATCCCAGCTGTGCCTCCTGGATTGGAGCTTTGTAAAGAAAGCAAGGCAAGTAAAGAAAATGAGTTTTCTCTCCAAGGACACAGCTTCCTGCATTGACACAGAGGTATTGTAAGCATATAAACAAAGCCTTGTGTCCCAGAGATACATGGCAAAGAATGGCTTGTAGGTGCATGTGAGGTTGGTCTGAAATGCAGGTAAGCAGTGAGCAAAAAGCAGTCTGAGGAGGGGGATCTCTACAACTGCAGAGGTGCCTGCTCCCTGCCTTCAAATTAAACCCCTGCCAGCAAAACTGAGGGGAGGAATTTTAGATGGACCAGGATGTGTCTTGTGATTACTGACAAGCCAGCTTTGTTTCTAAGTGGATAGACACATCTTTCAAGAATTGAAATTTTACTGTCTGCATGTAACTTTCTGAGGTGAAATCTTGCTCCATCAAAACTGAGTCATCCTTCTCAGCTGAGTGGGTTCAGTTCTGTCGCCTGCCTTGAATAAGGGAGATGATACAAGTAACTGGGATAGGCCAAAAGCATCTGTAATATAACGCTAGCAAGAGAGAGCAGTTGCCACGAGTGGTTTCGTCACCTGCACGGCAGAGTGCTGGAGATGATGGGACCAGAAATAGGTCAGGCCAGTGACCCTCCACCTGAGCTTGGACCTGCCCTACATCAGACAAATTGCTGTGGGAGCTGTAAAGCTGGAGCAGTGTTTGGCTGTGAGGTGAGGCATGAGCTAAAGTGTGGAACACCATGGATGGCCCTCCTGAGAGTGGAGAGTCTCTCGAGGATCTCCTTGTGTCAAATGGTCACCTGAGACAGTGACCAGTGCCTGGGAAGAGCTTGGTTCCCTCTCTGTCCTGGGCTCTGCAGGGGCTGCTGCTGAGCTGCCGGTGTTTTCCATGCTGCAGCTCCCTGGCATGGCAATGTGTTAACAGTCTGTTTAGCTGGTCTTTGTAGACTACAAGCTTTGTGTATGCATATGCTGTGAGAGACTTGTCAGAGCCTTTCCTGGAATGGGGTGCTGATTAGGCAGGGCTCCTGAGAGCTCATAATGGAAATCAATATAATGGTTGTAATAACTAATGATAACAAAGTCAAGAATGGCAACAAAAAGCTTCAGAGCACAGTGTCCTTTGATTTTGAAGCTTTTGAAGGGGAGCAGAAAAGAATTATTTGAGGACATAATAAAGGAACCCCCTCCCTTTCATAGAACTTCTCCTGGGAAAACTATTTTATTGAAAGAGGGTATGTTAGCCAAAGCAAGACATAAATATTTTACTTATTAGAGCACAGACTGTTTCTCTTCTCGTTGGCTTCTTTGCCAAGGCTGGCCTCAGACAGAAATTCACAGTGTCCATTTCTGTACTGGGGGGGGGAGGGGGGAGCAATAAGGGGCATGGAGACCCAGGCCATGAACTGAAAGCCTGCAAAAAAAAAAAAAAAAAAAAAAAAAAAAAAAAAAAAAACCAAAAAAAAAAAAAAAAAAAAAAAAGGAAAAAAAAGCCCTTCTTAGAGAAATTTCCTTGCTCATAAAATGTGACATTTGCATGGCAGTTGCTAAAATTGGTTTTTCTTCATAAACAGACCTTTGGAGTAAAGATGTGGAAAGCCCATGGTGGATCAAATTGGGCAAAGATATCAGATCTCAGCATCCAACTTGACAACAAAACTAATTTCCCTGTGAGGGCAAAACACATACTGCCACCTTTCCAATACACACTGCCCTGTGTGAGTTCTCTGATGTTTAATAGGCCTTAGGCTGCACACGATTTCTCTCCCTGGGAGAGCTAATAAGATTTCATTCCCTTCTACCTGACTATTTCCACAAGATGTAGAGAAATGTGGGATCACTGAGCTCTCCTCATTATTGCAACTTCATTGTGTCAGATAATCTTAAGAAAGGAGATAGACAGGAAGGCAGAAATGCTCAGGCAGCTGAACTCATGTAATGAGTGAAATCATAGGTGCATTTCCTTCCCATTAGAGCTGTTCAATCACTTTTAAAATCTGTCAAGGAAGACACCTGTAAGTCTCCATCTCAGAGTGTCCTTACAAAGGAGGTTGTGAGACCCTGAGTGCAGGGGGCACTAGCTCAGAGAAGCAGACCTGTATTTCTTTCATACACTTCCTTCCTGTAGCATGAGTTTCTGGTTCTGAGCACAGATGGATCCAGACAGTTTTTATCTTCTTATACCCAGTTTTCTAAGGGTGCTGTCTGCACTGGTAGTTTGTGGCAGATATCCAGGGAAGAGTATAAAGACAAGACAGCTGATATCCATAGTTCCCCAAGGTGTTCTCTCTCAGCCTCTGAAAAATTGTCATTCAGAGATATTGACCCAGTAGTGGTATCTGTTGTGTTTGGGTAGCTCTGCAATTGATTTATTGATTTTTCTTCTATGCCTTTGTCTAACTTTTGAGCCCATGTCAAGGGCCTACATGTGGCATAGAGTTCCAGAGTTTAACAACCTCTGTGAGGGTATAAAAACCTCTCTCCCCTCTTCTACTCTGTACACACCTCCAGCTTATTCTAGCTGGCATCAAATACCTCTTGGAATCTGCAAGGTACTGTCCATCCCTCACTGCTCACACAATTCTCCCTCGAGTTTAATAGGGCTGAGCATATCTGTTTTCTTTCCTACCCTCAACTATTCTCACACAAAAGTTCTCCAGCCATTTTCTCCCATATTTTCTCTTCCAGTTTTACTATATCCTTGGCTGTTCAGGATGAAAACTGCCAGTTTCCCAGTGCTAAGCCAAGGATTGTTTGGCTTGTAGCATCACTTAGAGAAGTTTAGCATTTGTTCCAGGCTTGAATTCTTACTGGTGAGCTGAAAGAGGGCAAGAAAAGGTGATCCAGAACCTGATATGGCTGGTTTCTGCTCTATCATGTTAACTCTCCAGCTGCACTGTCTGGAGCGAAAGCAGGTTCAATTGAATTAGAAGTGGAGAAAGTTTGTCAGTGAGTTGGCAGATAAATTTTGCTTTACACCATGGAAACAGATATGGTAGTAGAAATCCTTGCTAGTCAGTGTGCATTCTCTCCAGCTCTCTCTGCCAATGAGAAGATTCAGAAAAAGCCAACTTTTTCTTGCCTGGTATCGCATTGTGAATCTGCTTAACCACGTGTTCACCCCCCAGTCTGAAAAGCAAATGCTTTTCAGATTGAATATCTGTTGGTGAAAATAGTTCAGAGGTGACTGGTTACTTTTTAACCCCTGGAAACTGCTTTCAAAAAGCTTTTTTTGCAAGTGCTGCATTTTGTGGCCCCCTTTTTCCCATCCAGGGAATTCAGTCTGGGTACAGGGTATCTGCAAGGGGCTTGCAAAAGGTTATGCTCCAAAGCTGAGCTTGTGTTTTTATGAAATGCATGAATAGCTTTGACCACACTGAGGGAAAAGACAAGTCTGTAAAACTTCAGCCATTGCAAGGCAAGCTGTGAAGCTGAAAATATAGTGCTGTCAAGAAAAAAAGAGTTCCTACAGTCTTCCAAGGTGAAATCCTAGCCTTCATCTAACTATACAAAGCTGGTGGCAGATTTCCCAGATTTGAATAGGCCATGATTTCACCTTACAGTTGTCATGGACTGCAGGAACTGAATTGGACTGGACAGAGTTAACTCTGATGTCATCCAGGCAGTGGGATTTGTCCCAATGTTTTCTGCATGTAGGTCTAAAAACTTGGTATTGAATTAGAATCTGTCTAGGAGGAGTGCTGGTAATTGCAGAAACAAATCCCAGGGGTTGCCATTTAATCTACAAGCTCAGTTTTGTTTCAATTAGCTGTAAAGTTGGCAATGAGCACAAGTGGGTAACCATGAAATGAAAGCTCCTCCAGTGAACACTGTGTCCACAAACTCTCCAAATTGCTGACTCTCATTAGAAAGCAAAGGGAGGGGAGAAAATAAAACCACAAACAGTGAGATCCAATTATGGTCTTTCTTCTTTGTTCTTCCACTGTCTGGAAATGGCTGGTTTCTGTTCTAGAAAGAGAGCATGTTCTAGACCTGGGTGTGCAGTCCTCTGCAGCAATGTCCTCTACCTGGACTGAGAGAAAGTGCTAAGATTTCATTTACATGGGGCAGAGGAGCTCTCCCATTTCTTTGCTCAGGATTTCTGTGCCCACTCAGGCCTGACAACAGATCATGCTGTTCCCATGTGTGGAGTTAGCTTCAAGACAGAACTCAAGCCAGTTAATATTCTGTCCAGCTTCCTCCAAAGAGCAGAGCCTGCCCTCAAGTACTTACCATCAAGTAGAATTCAGGTAAATACCTCTTAAAAACTAAAAATGCTGCTTCTCTGGCAGCTTTCACCAGACTTTTTTAAAGAAATATTGTTTTCCTGACTTTTTAAAGCAAGAATTCAGTCACTCAAGTGAGACTAAATTTATCTTCAATTGTTATAGTAACTTTTATTTTCAAAGTTCAGCTGTGGAGATCTTCATCAGAACATTTCAAAGGACATCCTGCAGATGAGAGGAAAAAGAGGACACAGAAGTAAATCGTCTGAGGTGAAAGAGCAAGACAGGATCAGAGCTGGAATCAGGACTCCTGACTCCTGGAAAGTTTCTTATCCAGTGAACATAGATCTGTGTTACTCCTGTTGAAGAGGATGATAGCTTTTTCATTAGGCAATTCAAAAAGAACAATTGTTCTATTCAGTACTATATAGCAAAAGAATGTATATTTAAAACAGAGCCAAGACTGTTAAAACCCTGTTTCCAACCCACTGGATTCTGATGTCTTATGAAGACACCCTTAGTAATTTCCCTAACAGGAAAAGCAATAAAACCATCCTAATCATCAAAGATGTTGCTATTTACAGTTTCCAGAGCTATCTCCATCATATTATCTTTCCTTTTCCTCCAGACAAGTCCTGGTGGAAGCCATCAAAGCCTTGTGGTGTGAATTGAACCAGAAACCACCAAAGGTGCCGTCGAGTCTAAATTATTCTCTGATTTTATAGGCTAAGGGTCATCTAATCAGCCTCTGTGAGAACTTTCCTGGGCCACAAAATACTTGTTTCTGAATACTAAAGTCTGCAGGGGCAAGGTTTATCTTCAAATAATGTAACTGGCAAAAACTTGGCTAGAAACAGTTCGCCACTATGGCTTTTAAAAAACTTTTTCCAGGACCCTTTGCAACCATAAGTGCTTTTATTTTTTAATTTTTTAAAATTCCATTTGCAGGTTGTTTACTCAGTGAAAAAGTGGTGGGTGAGCTCATGTCATTCCCATACCAGATTTTCAGAATGAGAAAGCTGTGCGTTACCTCATGTTCCTGTGGCTTTGACCAAAGCAGCAGTCCTGACAGATGTTAGTTCAGAGATCACAGGGTACAGAGTGACTAAAAAAATGTGGTTCAGGGTAGATTTAACATGTAGTATTTCATATATAGTAGTAAGACTCTGGGACCAAAGAAGAAGCGGCAAGAGTTGAAGGAGTGGTAAAAAATAGCGCACCTTTCATGTGCCTTCAGCCATTAATGCAGCTAACACTCAGAGGGAAGTAAAGAAACACAGAGAATTCCCAGAGCTTTGTTTCAATTGATTATAGGCTCTTCTGGCTTCCATGGTATCTTATCTTTACCAGGACAGTAGAGACAACCTAGTGTCTAACACTTTCTCCTTGCTGCATTCCTGTGGAGGAACTCTGTGATACCCTGCCCATTTTACAAATGAAACACCACAGGGTTGAGGGACAGCCTCAGGGTCATGCAGGGAACCAGTCTTAGAGCAAAGAATTAAACAAAGCCCCCCCAAATCCTCATGAGTGCCTTAACTACCTTTGCTTCCCTATCTAGTTTGTTTTAGCACAGAGTAAATTTTAATTGGATGATGAGATAAGCAAAAGCACCTCAGGCACTGTATGAAATGGAGCATGGGAGTCCTTTCAGAAAAGGCTTTCCCTGGTGATAGTTACTTTTTCAATCCTGTTGACTTCCAAAAATCCCCGGTGTCAAGGGTGGCTCAGCATTGGCCCTTCTCCATAAGCAGTCTCACTATAGAGAGAATGATTGAACTCAAAATGCTCTGGAGAGTAATTTGTGGAACCAGAATCTGGCCCAAGAAAAGAGAAAAAGAGTGTCAGTGCTTGTCAGGGAAACTCATCTGAACACCTCTAGCAATTTAAGGGAAGTCCTACAGACACACCAGCAAAGCATTTTGCTGGTTTCCATTAAATAGTTATCACAGATCCTGCTTGCAAGCAGATCCATTTCTTAATATATAAAGCAGTTTAGTCCCAAACATTATATATTTAAAAAAAAAAAAAAATCCATGAGTTCTGCAGCACTTGCGCAAAGCAATAAATTCTCCTTTGAACTATTAAAATTTTTGCTCGGCAACATCATAGCAAGAACATCACCTTGTCTTGTGATGGTGGGTTAGTCCCACGAGCCCTCCTATGCTTCTTCAGGTCACTAATGAGCTAATCAGCCCTCACTAAATAAACCCTATAGCAGTCCTCACCCAGGAACTTCCACACCTCTTTCATAAATACATTTTTCCCATGTTATAAGTGTGATAATACAGGTCAAGCTGTAAATGGGATTTTTGTTTCATTAATCTAATTGGACAGCAAGGTAGATTAAAGGATTAAACTAATAAATGGAGATAACAGACTTTTCAGCTGTTTTGGACTGGCAGAGCAAGTTCATTCTAACATGGTTTAACCCCGTAAGCCACATTTTTACCACCTTGTGGCCCTCTGAGATGATGGTTCTCTGACATCCTGTAATGCTCTGCTAATTCCCATGCCAAAATATTAGCTGCCATCCTTTACCCTCTGTGAGTTACTGGGTCTGAGCCAAGAATCTGTCAGCATAAGAGAAGCACAATCAGATGGTGCAAGCCTGATTACAGTCCATTGCTGTCTCACCCAGGCCTCCCACTGGTCGTCTCAGCAGACTCACTGCTCTGCCAGATTGTTCTCCTGCCAGTGCATCAGTCAGCAACATTAATAAATGGTTACAAAGATAAGTTCCATCTTATCCTGAAGGTAAAGAATCCCAGCAAAGAGAAAGAGATGCAAGGGTAGTCTCGGCTTGGGACTTAATTGGTAGAGCAGAGGTAGGCAAGACCTCCCTGGGAAGCAGTGTTGCTCCACAGTCAGTGAGATTGTGATGTGTAAGCTCAGTAAAATCTTTCTGTCTATGATTTTTCTCTAATTCTGGTACCTGAATCCAGTAAATTAAGACTGTCACACACTGCACAACTCCCATTTCCCTCCTGAGGTCTTTGCTATGGCACAAAAGGAAGTCTTGAGCAGACCCAAGTGCTTTTTTTTACTTTGCCACATCCAATCCAAGTTATTTACATATTATCATATTTAAACAGAATTAGAAAGTTTTCGTCCTTTGAGTAGGGTCCCCATGTGTTAAAGTTTCTGAGATGCTTACAGGTTAAAGGTAGTGGGGTTCTTGGATTACACCAGCATTTTCACACAGTTCCCTCTAAAACAGGACTGTGCTTATCTCTACTGGTGGCTTTAGTAAAAGAGTAAATGATGTTGCTGACAATCTGGCTTTTCATCACAAGCTTTTTGAAGTATGGAGAATCTTTTTATAGGACACAAATTTCAGTAAATTAACCTTAAAATTCTTATGGGCCCCCTTATTCATCCTACCTCCTCTAATTTGTTCTAGATAGAATTTATCTCATCTCCCACAGTGTCTGTTCTCTCCTGTTCCTAGGAGGACCCTTAGGCTCAGAGTGCCTTTCCTAATTGAATGTTGATCCTTGTGCTGAAGAATATTTTGACCTATGAACCAATTTCATCTCGGCTCCTGGTGCAAAGCATGTGCCTTGTAGCATTCTCCCTCTCTGCACAGCCAGTCCCCAGGGCTGGGAATGTGAGAGGAAAGCTGGTGTTTCTGCACCACATGATGCACAGCTCCACATTCACTCTGCTCTTAGCTTGGGCCAGTGGCCAATCCTGTAAGCCAAAGAGTCTTGGATCTGTCTCATTTCTGGGTGGGGCCAGATAATGAAGATAACATCCAAGGTGTCATGTCCTAATGCCAGACCACAGGCATAGAGAAAGTCTTAATTTAGTCCGATTGTCTTCACAGAGCTGTCAGACTAGGAATAGCTCTGCTTACAGACAACACATGGGAAGCTTCCTGTGAATCCATACAGGAAATATTTTCCCAGGCAGGACCCATTTCAGCCAAGCCATTTCTAAATGAGTGCCTCAGGAAAAGGCTGTGGTCAAAAGCAGAACCTCCCCTAGCTCATTGTAAGACTGGGGAGGTCTAAGCAGTGACAGCAGACTTTTCCTCCCAGCTGGCAGAGACACCACCACAAATTTCCCTGCAGCTCCTGGGATAGAACAGAACAGGAGCCAGAATATGGTGAATGTGAACTCTCTCTGGTACCTGGGCAGAGAAGACAAGCCCCTTTGTCAACTTATCACCACTTGTAGTGGAAATGACCTATTAAACCTCTTTTCCTACTGTCCTCTCCCTGGGTTCTTTCTTTCCTAGGTCTGTTAATGCTTTGTCAAAAGGCAGAAACACAGCTTTGACATAAAACGCTGCTGTTTACAGTTGATAGAAAGCTTACATTAGATCAGGCCACCTGAACCTCCTCACCCAACATAAACAGAATTTATCAACACTGCTTAAACCATTAACCCTGACAACTGAGGTTTTCCAGGGAAAGCCCTTATCAAAAGGGGGCTGCAAAAGAAACCCAGTGAGAAAAATCCTCATTGCCCCAAATGAACCCAAATAACTTCCATGAGAAGATGTGGATGAGTCTTGTTTGGCTCACCCTAATCCATTTGACAAGGCAGGGATTCCTTCAGGTTGGAACACAAATCCTCCAGGAATCTGCCTTGTCAACTTCCTCTGCTCTCCATTTGTATGGCAGCTACAATTTTTTAAAGATTGTTATCTGATCAACATAGGATAGGAATGTTTGGAGTTGAGCATCTGAGTCATTAGTGGAGAGGCTCTTCCATATCCAGTGAATTCAGTTCAGAGAAAGCTCCCCTTGTGTGCTCCCCAGAAGGTTTGTGGCTCCTCTCTTGCATGTGCCCAGACACCGAAAACATCCTGGTGAAGCCCTGAGAAAAGGCTTTGTGAGGGACCCCACTTGGAGAATGTCTCCTGAAACTCTTCCCTGTCGTCAGTGTTTAGAGCAAAGGGTGAGGCCAAGAGAAGAAGCCTGTAAAGAAAGCTTCACATGGGCTTTCCAGATGTAATCAGGCTCTTACCTCAAACATTTGGCCCTTGTTTGTAAGGCAGAAAGCTTCTGGAAAAAGGCATTTTCCAGGACAGTGCTGACTTTCCATCTCCAAATTGAGACTCTGGAAAAAACTGAGAGTTAGAGACAACAAATAAAGAGTAACAGGAACTTTCTCAAGGTTGTGATGAGTTTTTAATTTTATCCACACAGGAATTTCAGTTTCAAGGGAGACAAGACATTTTCACATTCCAAATGCAGAAATATTTTTCCTTTTCATTTTCTCAACTTCTTCTTTTGAGAAGAAAACAAAAGGAAGTGATATATGATATAGGAGATATTGCAAACAGTTGTTTAGATGCACATAAAATTGCTTTCTGAGCTATAGATCTCACTTGTTTTCCCAAAGGAAAATCTAACACACATCTACCTCCACCTGCTGGAAGGAGATTAAAAATGTTAACAATTAAAATTTTCAGCTTACCAACCAAAGATCTTCTACATACTGAGGCCTGAGGTGGGAAAAAGATCATAGTGAGGGTAAATGTCCCAAATCCACAGTTTCTGGACTTAGCAAGGCTTCAGTACACAGTACTAGTAAATGTTTAACACTGCAGGGCAATGGAAGACTTGCTTTTGTACTGAGTAAACTTTTGACTGACTTTTTTCCATGTTGGATAGATATTTAGGGAACAGTATTAGCCTCACTGAACAGTGGTGGAAATCCAATGGAATTTAGTTTGAGGCAGAAGCAGGCCATTGGTATGTGAACTGTGAAGGCAACTGAGACTTTTCCTCTCTGCAGATGGTAAATCCGCAGACATTCAGGACAGAAATATTCTCATTTTAATGCTTTCACTGCTGGCTGCAAGATGAAATATCTTTAAATCACAGAGCAATCTTTCTGATCTAGTTTTGAAAACCAAAAAAAAAAAAACCTTTTGTAGTTTTAAAGAAGATTGGAATTTTCCCACTATTTTTTTTTTTTAAACTTTTATGGCAGTTATAAAAAAATATCAGACTGGTCCTGAGGAAAGGATTCCTCATGACAGTATGCTAGCTTGGACTTTGGAAGGTTCAGTTTTGGGTCTGTATTTTACCACTGTTTTCCCTTGGGGTGGCAGTGGTGGCTGTAAAGCATTTTGTGAGATCAATGACAATTCTAGCAGAAATATAATTTTCTCCCACATTTTCCACAGGCATTTTAACTAAAGATTCAGAATGGAAAAAGACATTATCCAGATGATTAAAAATATAGCCTAAAAAGATATTTGCTAGCACTGTTTATAAAATTAGGATTTTACTACTCTGAGAACATGTTTTCAACCTTCTGAATTCAAACATGGCCAGAAAAGCAGGCCAACTGTATGGGAATATCATTGGATTCGTTGAGTTTCTGCCTGGTACCTTGACAGTAACCCCAGCAGCAGGAAAATCCAGACTCAAGGGAGAAGTGGAAGGGGCTGGTGGGATAACAAAGATGCCAAGTATCATTTCCAGTCTTCACTCTCTGTGGATGCACTTCACCATGAGCATTTCCAATGAAACGCTACATTTTTGCACAAAGCATCCATGGGTTGTCAGCATCTTCTTTCCTCATCCCAGGAGGAGCATGGAGAAACCAATAATCTGAGAGATCCTCCTAAATCCAGGGACTCTCCCACCAGATGGCTGGTCCACAAAGTGCATCATCCAACCACAGCTGCTGAACAATTCTGAAGGCCTGACAAGAGAATGCTGGTATTTTATTGCTGCCACATCCCGCCCTGCTGTTCTCTTTCCAATCAGTTAAACACTGCATCTGTCAAAGCTCAGCTTAGGTGACCTTGAGTATCCATTCAAAATTCAATTTTAAAAATAGTAGACAGAAAATATGAATACTTTTTTTTCATGCAAGTCTCCAGAGAACCTTCCACAAACCAGAATGTGTTTTTTATTATGGTTTACATCAACAGGCTGATCCTGGGGACTTCTATGTGTGTTTCTGTTGCTGATTTTTTTTGGAGGGGACATGTGTATGTGTGTGTGTGTGTGTCTATCGTGGCCCTTGTTTCCTCTGGAGAAAGGAGACAGAAAAACCCACTTGAAAATTTATACACACAGTGTCAGGAGCCCAGTTCATTCATCTGAAGACACTCCTGCTGTGTTGGGTAAAATGCCCAGAAATACTCAGGGCTGAGTTAACCACAATTCTCCGCTTCCATGTTGTGCCTGCTGCCATATTTGGAAGTTGTGATTCCTTTTCTCAATGTGTCTGACTCAGAATTTGCATTTGCTTGATACCAGCATCGATTTCCTGTCCTTTTGGGTAGCTGTAATGGATGGAGTGGCCATGAAAGGTTCAGCAGGACAAGTAGTGAGAGTTAGTAAGCTCAGTGGAGCAGTATCAAATGTCAGCCAGTGGCTGCTCAGATGTCAGGGATGCAGATTGAGGTGCTGGAGTCTGGCAGACACATGACCCATGGGTTGCAATGCGCTGTTAAAGAAATGAAACCTACCCAAGTTATTCGTAGGAACTCTCACATATTGCAATTGGCAGCCTCATGCTGGGTCTGCCCTAATCACCTGCCAGCATAAATTAAGAATGTGATTTCACATCTAATGATATTTCTAGACTAGCAAAAGACAAGGGAGGGGCCTACTTTTCCAACCCTCTCTGCTTCACAGCAAAATTTTCATATAGAAATTTTCATATGTGGCCAAGAGCCACAAGACTCAAAATACAACTCTCATGAAACAGGATTGCTTCTCAGCAAGAGACAGTGGCTCCCTTCAGAGTCCCACTGGGAAGTGTCTTGAGGCAGCCCATCTTTTTCAGCCTCAGCTATCCCTGCTGGCTCATTTCCTACCACAGCTAGGAATTTGGATTACCCAGCAGCTCTCACATGGAAAGCCACACTTGAACCACTTACAGCATAGAAGGATGTTGAGTCACAGGATGCCATCTGTCACAGGATGCCATCCTTGTCCTGGGATGGGACTAGTGGAAAATTTTCACCTGTTTTGGGTGGGCAGTGCTTCATTAAGAGTAGAAGGTACAAGACATTCTGATGCTGATGCTGAAGGGAGTTTGCCATCACGGTAAAACCTGTAACAAAATCAAAAACATTTTCTGGGGTGGACTATGAGTGTGACAGAAATGAAAGCTGTGACTTTGGCTGTCTTTGAAGCACTGGTGCTTGCCGGCAGCTACCACATAGCTCTTAAAATTTTGTCTGCTTTCAGCACTTCTGAGGGCTTGTGTGTGCTGGTGGGTGCAGGATGCAATGCAGAAAGTCAGAGGTGCTGGGAGAGAGAGGTCACATGTAATTTTTGTTTGCCCTGCTGGGACTCTCAGAAGCCTTTGTCCTGGAGAAAAGCTAACTGCTACTGTGATGTGATAGAGGCAGTTCCTGCTCACCAGTGAGATGAGAGACAACAGCAGATACAGCTGATGAAATGAACTTTCTTTGTTGCCTCATCATAAGCGGCACCAGCCTCAGTCTGTCAGTCTTTTTCATCAAAGCTTTTTCATGCAAGAAAAAGCTTTTTCAATTAAAGCTTTTTCATTCATTGCAGTTTTGAAGGAAAGCAACAAGTTGCCTCTATGGCTTCTTGGCAATGCCATCCCTGATGATGGCAACACACTGAAAACCTGTGCCAATGAAAATCCTGTGCCACTGAATACGAGGAAGGGTGCAGATGGGATGTTTAAAATCAGAAAACGTTCTAAAGTTAACACAACAAAGGAGGGCACTAAGTGAACACAAAGAGAAGGGCTACATTTAAAAAGTATATGCTAAGAGAATAGTTGTGTCTGTCAGCCTGCTGCCCATAGGGCTGGTAGTTCTCTTTCATTCTAGGACAAGTTTGAAGGTTCAGTTTCAAGTCATGTTTTTCCTGAACTTTTTAGTACCACAAACAATGCATACATTGCACTCTTCACCCAAGCATCTTCCCCACAACATCCATTCCATTTAGTAAAATTGTTCCCATGGTAATCAGTATCCAGATCCTATTCTGGGTCTCAAAATAAATAGGAAATACATGTCATAACATCTTCAGGCTCATACAGGAGTAGAAAGAACCTCTGGGAAAGAAATCCTGAAACAAAGGGAAAAGCAACATTTTATGATTCTTGGCAGAGAAAATTCCAAATGTACAATAGCCTTTATCGCAGTGTGATAAAGAAGAGAGCAGAGACAAGGAAAATGGCTAGTGTGTCACAAACACAGAAAACCTTCTGGAGCAGATTGTCTTGAAAGCTTCTCATGGCATTTTGCACAAGCTTCAAAACTCTCAGCTGCTCTGTCACATTAATGTCATAAATGTAAATTACAAAATTTAAAACATAAAATATAAAATATATAAATTATAAAGCATTAAACATTTTAAACTAATTAATGTTTCTCACCCCACACTTAAATAAGCTTAACCAGACATCTTGTAGTGTGTGATAAATTCAGGCTCTCCTATCCTGTGCAGATGCAAATGTTTGCAGCTATGTTGATGGATGTCTCTCCAGATACTTTTAATGAGCAGTGTCTAGACCTGAAGAGTGAGCACAGTGCATTTCTGACTCTGTCAGAGTAATTGCAGCATTTTGTAGAGACTCTCTTGTCTCTTCAAGGTGATAGCAGGACAGTCAGCAAATATCCTTTCTTCTTCATAACTCTGCACAGGGCTTTAGACCAAAGATTGTATAGGGAAAAAAGGTTGTATAGGAAAAGGGAAGAAAGTGTCTGAAAGCTGTTGGGAACTGCCTCTACCATTCAGTTGTCAAATTTCCAGCTCTTTGTCACACTTTGTCATTGCATTTATGTCTCTTTAATGAATGCTTTCTCTTTCTTTTTGCTATTTCTGTGCTGCTTCAGATGATGAGGACAAAGCTAAGCTGAGTCACTGACAGCTAACAGAAGAAATTATATTTTCATCAATATCTATAGAGCCCATAAAGCATAAAAAAATCAATGCTTTTTGAGAACAATCAGGAGTTCCAAAGAATTTGCACTGCAGTTCCTTCCAAACCTGGGCATGTGGATCTGTAACATTCATTAGAAAAGATTTGAAATACCATAAAGAAATAGCTCTTCCTGAGAGGGAAGCTTTGTCCTCCTGCAAAGAGCAAAGATAAAGCATACCGCATTAGCAGCTCTCTAATGGTTTAAGAATTCAACTTCAATAGCAGATGAATGTCTCAGTTCTTCTGAAGAATATTACTGAACTCAGAAAGAAACAGGCCTTTTCAGTGTGCAGTTTATCCCATCCAAAATTGCTCAGGGAAGTCACTGCTATTCAAGCTCATTTCACCTTGCGGAAAAAGTGCTAATAAGTATCTTTCATTTTTGGTATTTTACTCCATAGCTCTCTGCAGCTGAATCTCAGTGTTTGTCAACATTACATATTTAAATGCAATACAGCTTTTTAAATGAAGAGAGCAAAAGAGATGTTATGGAAGCCTGAGAGCTGAGCGATTGCAATCTTTGTTTCAGTCCTTAAAAAAAATAAAAATTGTGACATTCATCAAATGACATTCATCACAAGGAACGAAGTTTATATGTGAAGATTTACACACCCTAATCTCGGCCAGCCACATCCTGATTCTGCAGGAGATTT